GGCGGACGTTTTATCAGTGGGGCGGACGTTAACTGTGGTCCGTTATCGGACACCAGCACGTCGGGAAGGCCGTCAGTGGCAAAAAGGTGGCGGAGGGTCGCGACGAGTGCGTCGGCAGTAGTGGATGGCATGTGGACGACCTCAACCCACTTCGAGAAGGCGTCCACAGCAATGAAAAGCATGGGGCCCGCAAAGTCGACGTGCACCCGGGACCAGGGTGAGGATGGCGGTTCCCAAGTACGGGGCTCGGCTTTGGGAGGCAAAGCCTGGGTGCTCTGGCATTGTGGGCACCCCGCGACATGGGCGGCTATGTCCTGGTCAAGTTTAGGACACCATACATAACTACAGCCCAGGGCCTTCATCTGGGTGATGCCGGGGTGGGCCTGATGTAGTTGCTGCAGGACGGTAGTCCTCAGTGAGGCCGGCACCACTACTCGGTGGCCCCAGAGCAGGCAGCTGCGCTGAACAGACAGCTCTGTCAGGCGGGACTTGAAGGGCAGGAAAACAGGATCCACGGGGTCTTTTGGCCACCCTCGCCTAACCCAGTCTAGCACCCGGGAAATTACCTGCTCCCTTGCGGACAACCGGGCGATGTCGGCAGCAGAAGTTGGCAAGTTGAGGTCGTCAATCAGGAATACTGGGGCGAGAGCAGCAGGGTCTTCAGGGGCCTCCGGCAGGGGGCAACGGCTGAGTGCGTCGGCATGGGTGATCTGCTTCCCCGGGTGATGGTGCAGCTGGTACTCATAGGAGGCAAGGAAAACAAACCAGCGTGTCATCCACGGAGAGAGAACTTGCGGGGCAGGGCGGTCGCCGGCCAGCAAACCGAGCAGCGGCTTGTGGTTGGTGACAATCATAAAAGGCCGGCCATATAAGTAATGGTGAAAACGCCGTACCCCGGCTACAATGGCAAGAGCCTCCTTATCGATTTGGGCGTAATTGCGTTCGGAGGCAGATAGGGTATGGGAGAAAAAGGCTACGGGCACCTCCACCCCACTGGGTAGCTGGTGGCAGAGGACAGCGCCTACCCCGTAGGGTGAAGCGTCGCAAGCGAGCACGAGGGGCAAGTGCTCACTATATTGGACGAGGACGTCGTTGGAGATGAGGAGGTGTTTAACCGCCAGGAATGCAGAGGCTTCCCGGCGGCCCCAAACCCAGGCCGCGCCTGAGTCAAGGAGGCGGTGAAGTGGCTCAGCTACAGATGCCTTATGCGGCAGGAACACAGCATAGAAGTTGAGTAGGCCTAAAAAGGCCTGTAATTCAGCTCTATTGGTAGGTGCAGGGGTTTCCACAATAGCCTTGGTCTTAGCAGCCGTAGGGTGAATGCCACTGCCATCAATGAGGAAGCCTAGGAATTCTATCTGGGGCACCGCAATCTGGCACTTGTCTCTTTTGACCTTGAGTCCCACTTGTTGGAACTTGCTGAGAACCTCCCGCAGGCGGGCCATGAGTTCATCGAGGGAGGCTGCAGATACGAGAACGTCGTCAAAATAAGGGATGACGCCTCGGAGTCCTTGGAGCAGCCTCTCCATCAAACTCTGGAAAAGTCCTGGGGCGATGCTGACCCCAAACTGTAATCTGTGGCAGCGGAATGCGCCCCGGTGCGTGACAATCATTTGCGCCTCAGCTGCCTCATCGTCCACCACTAGCTGTTGGTAGGCTTGGGCGAGGTCTAACTTTGCGAAGATAGATCTCTCGCCCAAGGTGTGGAGAAGGTGCTGAACCACTGGCACCAGGTACGCATTGGAGGGCAGAGCGCGGTTGATAGAGCAGTGGTAGTCTGCGCAAATCCTTACACTGCCGTCTGGTTTGATTGGCAACACGATGGGTGTTTCCCATCGCGCATGGTCCACTGGCTCCAGGACGCCTTGAGCCACGAGCTTATCTAGCTCGGCGTCTACTTTCGGCTTGAGCGCGATGGGTACTCGGCGTGGTTTCATTCGCACCGGTTGCACGGATGGGTCGAGGTTGAATGACACGGGTGTGCCAGTGTATTTGCCAAGGGTGCCATCAAACATGGCAGGGAACTCGTTGACTAGGCAGTCTAGGGCCGACGTGCTTAGGTGGTTGATGCCGCTGATCTGAAGGCCGAGGGACTGGAACCAGTCGAGGCCGAGAAGGCTGGGCAACCGGCCCTCGACTATGATGAGGGGTAACCGGCCATCGAACCCCTTAAACTGCACTCTGACCCTGCAGGTGCCAATCACTGGAATCAGGTTTCCCTGATAGCCTCGTAATGTCAGGTTACAGTCTTGTAGTTGGCGCTTTGATAGCTGGGGCAAAAGGCGTTTAATCGTGCTCCAGGACACAATGGACGTAGCGGAGCCGGTGTCCAGCTCCATTTCACAGGGCCTCCCTTCAATGTTGACAGTCAGCTGAATCTTTTTCTGCAGATTGTGGCATGATGGGCCCTGATTGGCGTTCCGGAGGATGGCATGGTAGTCCATCCTAGGTTTCTTCGGGCCTTCCGTCCAGTTCCGCGGTTGTCAGGACCGATCGGCCAGAAACTCTGAGGAGGACATGGGCTGCGCGGCTCAGCACACCCGAGCGATGTGGCCCTTTCTGCCACACCGCTGGCAGAGGGCTTGCCTAAATCTGCACTCAGCTCTCTCGTGGTTGCCTCCGCAACCACTGCATGCAGATCTACGGTCGCCCTTCCGCCGTGGTAAGCTCTTTCTGTTCGCCTCATAAAGGCGGTTGATGTCCTCCTCTTGCCCTTCGGCGTCCGATTCATCACTCTCCATATCTGGTAGACCGGCAGCTGTATTGAATGTATTGGCGGGCTGTGCGGTTGGAGTAGACCGGCTCTTCGCAATGGTAGCTAGGGATGCCATGGCCATTTCGGCAGCCCGAACCTCATCGAATGCGGATTGAAAGGAGAGGTCTGCCTTCGTCAAAAACCGCTTTTGTAGTTTGAGGTCTCTGAGGCCACACACCAGGCGGTCGAGGAGGGCCTCGTCGAGATCACAGAATTTGCAGTGGAGGGCGGCCGATCTCAGGGCGGCGACATAGGCGCTGACTGACTCTCCCTCGGCTTGGCTGCGTTGATGGAATGCGTGTCGGTGGGCTATCTTGGACGGGGACGGGGCGTAATGGCTCGTCAGCTTTGCCATCAGGACAGGCCATGGCACGGCCTTGAGAGGTTCAGGGGCTGTGAGAGCCCTGGCAGTGTGGAACACGTCTGTGCCGCATACTGACAGGAAAAATGCGCATTTCCTTTCATCCGTCAGCTCGGTGAGGTCATGGGTGACCAGGAAACATTCAAAACGGGCGGTATATGACTCCCACGTTTCGGAGCCATAGTTGAATGGCACAAAGTTTAACGTGGCCATTCCTGTCAGTGAATCAGC